ACCAATTTAATAAGGTAAGAGCATCTGCATTCAAAAATGCGACACGTGCGAAATAAATATAAACACACACCAACAGGCAGCTTATACAAGTTTAAACAGGGGTATTTATAATAGCTCGGCAAGGGTTACCATGGTTCTGGTTATCATGTGACCAAGCACAGAACATAATTTCATTTATATAGACCAGTACACATACAGATACAAGGGGCACATTAAAATATATTATATAACAACTTATAATGCACAATGATACGCAACAATCACACAAGAAAAATTAGCCAAACATTAAACAAACAAAGTGATAACTAAACTGGCTGACAATGTGATGGAATAATTATAAATGATGGTACATTAAACTATAAATATCCTTTCACAACAATACTGAATGTTTGTTGGTCGTTCAACGTTTCACCACCGATGTTCGTGTGGGTGCAAACTGGCGGCAACGCAGTTAGCATGATAGACTCCAAACGTGATTCTGTACTAGGTAATAGTCTTTCAGGACAAAACCCACATCGTCCCTGGAGCCTGGGTCACAATGTGTCACACGCAATATCAGCCAAGTGTAACATCACACAACAGTTTATATAGACACAAGCCTCTAAGCAATATGTACACTAGGTGTTTCCGAATCTACCAATCAGTAGCCTCCATAGAGTGTTGCAGTTCAATAATGCACATGGCATGTAGGCACCATCTTATCAAGGGGCTCCACCAATTTCGAGATACGTGTGTGTTTAGTCAGGTCGCATGCCGTCCCTATCTCCAGTTTCAAGGTAGTTTTAATTAATACATGTGCATGTACAATGATACACCATCCAAAGATTCAGCACCTCAATAATTTTCACCATAAAGCCCATGTTAGGTACAAGGGGCGTTCAATAAGGATTGATTTACATCTCTATGGGTTATGTTGCAAAAGACGGGTCTGAACTAATTGTGGTTTCTGATTTACAGGTGTTTGAACTGAGTCAGGTGTGAAATGGAGCCAGTTGCGCGGTGATCTGGTTTTTGTATTTGAAAGGAACCACACCAGAGGAGACTTGATGAAATGAAAGAAACTTATGGTGATGATGCCCCATCATATGACCTTGTAAAACGCTGGCATTGTGAATTCAAACATGGCTGGAAGTCTGTGGGAACAGCTCCCAGACCTGGTTGTCCGTCTTCTGCCATTGATGAGGCATCTGTCAGTCAAGTTGCGGCAGCCATTTTTGAAGATCAACGCATTACTGTCCCTGATAGTACAGGGTCTGTGGAAACTATCATTCATGACCTTTTGCATATGCATAAGTTGCCTGCCAGATGGATTCCCAGGTTGCTCACACCTTTCCAGAAGCAAGACTGATTACACGGGATGAAACTTTGGTCCATCACTATGATCCAGAGACCAAAGCCCAGTCAATGCAGTGGAAGATAACTGGAGATGGGATTTGATAATTTTAAGTTAAAATGGAGCATTCTCTGGCTTCCTTTGGGACAAAATTACTATCAGACAAGTCACAGTTGAAGACTGTGGCCACTTGTGATTCCTGGTCAATCAGAATTTTATGGTTGCCAGAGGATCTGCTCCCTAGGGCAAGGGGCGCATGGCCATGGTACGAGGGCGCTGCACCCCGGTTCCCTAGTTTAAAAAAATTCCTTGTTTTTATATGATAATTTCTTGTAAAATCTCTGGTATTGATGCATGATTTACATGGCTTATTAATAGCAATGAATAGGACTAATAGACCAGTTGCTGTAATTTGCATCTGGCCATGAATTATAAAGAATAAAATTGCCACAGCTAGGCCAGTCTATGTACTGTAAAAATGTTAATTATTCACTGGGTTTTAATTTAGCTTATTTCGCTGACTGGAAAATGTGCTAAATTAAAACACAGTGAATATGTAAAATTTAGCATAGAACACATTATCTAAATGATAACACTGTGAATTTAAAACCTACTGAATATGCCTGAAATGGTAAATCAGTGAAATTTAAACCCAGTTAAAATTAGTCATTTTACAGTATGCTATTCAAAAGAGAGATAGAGAGAGAGATTGTTTCAGGAAACAATGTAGTAGAATTCCATTTTGACTTGCTATATTAAATAGAGATTTCCTTTGAACACGCAAGACAGTCCTGATGCACGTTTCAGTGACGCAAGACAGATATAACAATAAATGCATTACAGTTATACAAACTCATTTAATCGTAGAGAAATATTATGGAACAGAAGTAAATTTCAATTATCACATCATAATTGGAGTGCATTCAAGCAGCGAATTACTGCGAAAAACATTAGAAATAAAACTGTAAAAAGAAATTGCATAAACTCTGTACACTTTTGATACTGAGCAAGTCAAGACTAAGACACTAGTAATCAGAGACAGTTAATTGGCATTATACAGGACCTCTAAGGCCACAAATCCTGGCATTTCAGGGAATATCGTTGTCCTACAACAATATATACTTTATTATTTTGGAAATACTATAAAAAATATTCCAATTTATTTGAATTTGAACCCGAGAAAAAAACCAAGATTGGTGACATTTAAGGGTCACACATACACCTATTACAACTCAAGTATTAGCTCTATGCGAATATCTTCAAAAAATTAAAGACTGGAAAATAAAAATGCTTAGTTGTCTGTGCAGCCAATTTGGACAGTACCACCCTTTCTGTTGGCAATCATCTAAAGAACCAAGCAACCCTGTTATGCACAGCATTGCATGTGGTTAGGTTAAACATATGACAATATTATAGTCACAATATATAGCACCAAATATTTTCAATATTTCACTGTACAATTTCTTTGTTTGTACAAAAATAAATCAATTTGTATTGAAAGACTGCTGGTAAAATTTCCAAAGTGACTGCACTGTGAAAAATTGACAAAAATTATGAGTTAGAAATTCAAATATTCTTATTTACACTGAAGATATAAATTGCTTTACAAGAGCACTGCTATTTCAAATTGAATGTTTTCACACCACCGAATGTAGTGTGGTAGATATTTCTGTACTGGCCTTTCATTTTACTAGAAAAGTACATATACAGAGCAGGTGCTTAAATTATTCATATTCATATTCATTCAAAGTATTTATTTGAAAATGTCATTTATGTTGCAACACAGAAATCTAATTGGTATACATTTAAATGCATGTTGAGTCCTCATTATCAAAGGGCTCTATATAAATTGCATTATAAACTTAATAACTATATCAAAATATTAACTGAATCTCAAACCAACTCACAGACAGTGTTGGATTTTGTTACCAGTGTTCCTTCTAAGCAATATTTTCGTGACTTTTTTAGTCAGTAGTCCAAGTTTTTCTGTGCTATTAGGCACTCTGAGAAACTTTTTTTTTTAAGTTCATTCATTCTGTATTCAAATACATCTGATTCAAGATGTTTTTTTTTGAGGATTTCTCCAAGTCAATATTGCCGAGAAAGAACATTGATTATTGCTCCACAAACCTTTCTAATAAACATTTTAACCAAACATTTACAGAAATACATGAAGAAACATTTTTGGGAAGAAGACGTGACAAAATTCATGCTTGCATTCTGAGATCATTCCTATAGTTTACTGGGGACTTATGACTATGTATGCGAGTATATAAATTGGTTATACCAGGGAAATGTATGATGATAATTCACCCTGGTTTCAATATTCTGTCAATTCATGTTGGTACAAAGCATTTGCAAATGAAATACGACCAAACATTAAATGCAAAAAATGAAATGGGTGCTAATATTCATAAAACACTGAAAATCTCTGAAGGTCAAAAATTTAGTCCCAAATTCATACATGTCACATAATACAGTCAGAGGACCCCAATAAAGCTATTGCATTTAGAGTACAACTTTAAGCTAATTGTTATTTGGGGTAATTTAGCTAGCCGTATCCTTGCTAGGTCAAGTAGTAGCTAATGTTGCAGTGTATTCTTACAGTAGGATTTAGCTAGTTTAGCTAGACAATATCCTTGCTAGGTCAAGTAGTAGCTAATGTTGCAGTGTATTCTTACAGTGAGATTTAGCTAGTTTAGCTAGACAATATCCTTGCTAGGTCAATTAGTAGCTAATGTTGCAGTGTATTCTTACAGTAGGATTTAGCTAGTTTAGCTAGACATTATCCTTGCTAGGTCAATTAGTAGCTAATGTTGCAGTGTATTCTTACAGTGAGATTTAGATGGTTTAGCTTGCTAGGTCAAGTAGTAGCTAATGTTGCAGTGTATTCTTACAGTGAGATTTAGCTAGTTTAGCTAGACAATATCCTTGCTAGGTCAATTAGTAGCTAATGTTGCAGTGTATTCTTAGAGTAGGATTTAGCTAGTTTAGCTAGACAATATCCTTGCTAGGTCAATTAGCAGCTAATGTTGCAGTGTATTCTTACAGTGAGATTTAGCTAGTTTAGCTAGACAATATCCTTGCTAGGTCAAGTAGTAGCTAATGTTGCAGTGTATTCTTACAGTGAGATTTAGCTACATGTAGTTTAGCTAGACATTATCCGTGCTAGGTCAAGTAGAAGATAATGTTGCAGTGTATTCTTACAGTAGGATTTAGCTAGTTTAGCTAGTGTATTCTTAGTGATATTTAGCTAGTTTAGCTAGACAATATCCTTGCTCGGTCAAGCAGTAGCTAATGTTGCAGTGTATTTTTATTTTTAGTCACAACAGCTATTTTGACATGCTACCATTTTGGTGTGTCTTACAGTAGTGATGGAGCAAGAAAGACAACAAATCTGTAAAGAAACGAAGAGCACAAAAACAGTCAAGAAAAAACATGGTTTACACATTTCATGGAAGCCATCAAGATATTTATAATTAATATATAACTTATAGAAAGCCTAACAAGGCATTCTGGGTAATATGGCTGCAATGTGTGACACTATTGGCAGGAAACATTGAAATGAAAAGGACAAAAATTATCGCTGCATTGTGTACTCTATACTTGATATAACCAGGGTTGGTTCAACAAGCATTATTTGTCAGAATTTATCAAATACGCCATATCAGTTTGATTTACCAACTGCAGAACTGTCTTTTTCAAGAGTTTCCTTTTCAACTGCAGCTGGCAATGCCTCATTGTGGACATTGCTGCATTTAACATGGATGTGCTCTTTTGTCTTCACAGGTGACGTGCCTTCTGCTTTTCTTCCCTCACTATGGTCCCTGGCCTTTACACTGTGATGGTGAGACTCATTTGATGAATGTCTGTGGCTACTCTTTGAGTGGTGGTGGTGATCCCGACTTTTATGATGGCTGCTTGAATGATGTTTGGATGATCGGTGGTGTTCAGGATTTTCAGTAGATGAACGACTCTTTATGAACATAAGAACAGGTCGGCGGAAACCTGCAAACAATTTATTTAGGTAGTCAGGTGAAACACAAAGTAAGTACAAATGTAGACGAATTCAAAAGTTTGGACATTGTATTTATAGACCTTATAGGCACAGGATCGTGAGTGCGAGAGAGCCATGTGACCTTTTTATGCCTTCCAAACAAGGGTCCCATTCACCTTGGTCCACCATAGATAATTCATAGACATGTGCAGATCCTTTCCAACAATCATACTTCTTCATTGTAAACTAATAAGTAGCTAACATAGGAAGCAATCTTAAACAAAGACAGGTTGCAGTTGAAATTGAATGTATGTTTAGATCTTGAATTGTGGGAGTTTTGATGTGATCAGGGATTGT